TGTCAATGGCCGGTGAACACGGCAACAATGTCTGTTGAGGAATTAAATAGTTTTATGAATGAATCTATCATGAAAACGTCCACTTTTTTGAACATGAAAAAAAAATACTATAGTATCGGCTTATCGAAAAATCAACAATAATAACAAGCCTTGGTATGACAAAGATTGTTTACTTAAAAAAAGATCGGTAAAAGCCAAATATAAAATCTTTAAATCGAATACAAGTGATGTCTCGTTTTTAAATCAATATACACAAGAAAGAAAAAGTTATAAAAAATTACTAATGCAAAAAAAAGTGTTTACACTACAACAATAACAAATAAATTGTCCAATATTAAAGACCCAAAAGAATTTTGGTCCTTTTTCAAAAAATCGAAAAAATCTGAACCTCAAAGTGAAAGCTACATATCTCTGGAATCTTGGGCAAATTATTATACTAATTTTTACACTTCCACCGTTTCAATTACATACGATATTTACGATGCAACGCATCCCTACCTTGACCAAAATATTTCAATCCATGAGATTTATAGTTCCCTTAACCAAACGAAAAACAATAAAGCATGTGGCCCTGACTTGATATCAAACGAATTTTATAAACATATGCCCATAAGTTGGATAAATTTTTTACATTTACTTTTCAATAAAATATTCAACACGGGGAAAATACCTGAGTCATGGTCAACGATAAAGCTTTTTCACATCTTTAAAAGCGGGGATAAATACTCTCCTGAGAACTATCGAGGTATTGCCCTAATGAATCATATCATAAAAATTTTAACCCAAATTATTAATAAAAGAATATCAAGCTTTATTGAAAGTTACAATATTTTGCCAGAATCTCAAGCTGGCTTTAGAAAAGCTCGGAGCTGCGAAGATAATATTTTTGTTCTGCATACGGTCATTAGCAATCATATTAGGCTTAAGGGTCGAAAAGTTTTTGCTTTATTCGTCGACTATAAAAAAGCTTTTGATGGGGTGCAGCACAACATATTATGGCAAAAACTTCACTTGGCCGGGATAAGTTCGAAAGTAATAAGACTTTTATCTAATATCTATAAAAATGCCTCGTTACTGTTACATAGCGAAAACACCACAAGGCCAATTAAAATATGTAAAGGAGTTTTACAGGGCGACTCCGTAAGCCCCACTCTTTTTTCAATATTGATTCACGAAATAGAAAGCTATTTTCACTCAAACGGATGCTACGGTATCTCTCTAGACTCTCTGACAAATATAAGCATGCTATTATACTGTGATGACATTGTTTTTTTGGCCGACTCAGAGATTCAACTGAGAAAGATTTTGTTTCTTCTTGAAAAATTTAGTGACCAAGTGGGGTTATCAGTAAATGTGAATAAAACCAAAATCGTTGTTTTCAGAAAGAGTAAACGCCTAAGGAAATACGCAGAATTTTATTACAAGAAGGAAAGGGTAGAAATTGTTAACTCTTACAGGTATCTTGGGGTGATTTTTAATTTTGACTTGTCATTTTGCAAAAACTTTTCCGAAAGAAAGTCAAAAACTCTAATTTCACAGGGAACTATTTTAAAACACAATTAACACCAATAAAATTACTTCTTGGGATAGTGTTCTGAAGTTGTATCATTCGGTGATAATTCCAACTGCTTTATATTCTAGCTCTCTTTGGGGCCTCTATACGTTAGAAAATTTGGAATTTATTCAAAACACATATTTCAAAAATGTTTTGTATTTACAAAAAACAACTCCGGGATACATCATACGTTGCGAGCTAAAATTACCAAGATTAGCATATTTTGTTTTAGAAAATGCTATTTACAGCCTAATAAGAATAAAAAATTTGTCATCTTATAGACTGCCAAAAATTGCGCTTAATAGGCTTATTGCACTTAGTAAAACTCCCATGCCTACAAAAAAGGAAAAATTGGTATCAAAGACTGCAATCTTTTCTCAGGGAAATGTTGGGCTTCCACTACTCCCTAGACCACTTAAATACTAAGAAAGATGCTGAATACTTACTCAAAAAATATGTTCTTTATTCACAAACTCAAGACTGGAACAGAACCTTGCTTAGTACCTACTGTCCATTTTATAAAAATTTATCACCTCACCCATTTAGAGCTAATGAATCAAATTACTTATACATGGAATATCCTTTCTTTTTAAAAAGATTTATTGCTTTAATGAGACTACACAATTCAACTTCAATTTATATTTGTATAAATCATATATCATATAAAATAGATTTTAATCAAGTGTGTACTATTTGCAACATGCACACTTTAGAAACTCTAGATCACTTCATCAAGTTTTGCCCATTATATAATCACGTAAGGCAACACTTCTTACCAGGGATATCCTCTGTGGATTTGGACGTATTCTTGAATAAAACCTCGGAAAAAAACATTAAAGCTCTATTTGCCTTCTGCAGGGAATCACTAAAGCTCAGATCTTTCATTTTAAATGAATAAAATTCCAATATATTATTGAGGTGGGAAACAGGAAAAAAAAAGGTAGCAAATGCAAATGGGATTTATAAATACGGTCACTGGTATGTAAAATATCAAATATTTAGGAGACAGTCATTTCAGTTGTTTATTTATGGCTTTTAGGATTAATGAATGTTAATTATTCTTAGTTTATTGGGGGTAAATGAGTACTTGGGGATTGTCAAAGATTTTATTTTATTTTTTCTTTTGTTTGTACTTATGGAAAAATCTATCCATGAATGAAATAGTCACTGTGATTTTTGTTATTGTTTTTTTTTTTCTATGCTTTTACTTTTTAGGGTTTTTGAATTGGGAACCTCCAACCCACTGGTTTTTATTATCCAATGAGGTTTAAGTTCGTTTTCTTTCTTTATAATGTATTTATTATTATTATTTTATTTTTTTTCTCCTTAGATTAAGTAGCTTTTGTAATCTTAATTAGTTGATTCTAACCTTCTTGTTATGTACGGAACTCTGTACAAGAAACAATAAAATTTTTGATTTGATTTGATTTGATCATATAAGTTAAAAATGTCAAATGACAACAAAATATTGAAAACTGGAAAAGATGAGTGCTGCCGTTTGGCAGGGTTTTGACAGGTGTTGAAACGGTTGAGATTTTTCGACTTAACTTGGGCCGTGTTCGTTTTTGTCATCTTTTTCATCGATTTGCTCCGAAATTTTGACAGGCACGTGATTTGTAAATTGAAACTGTCTGATCCAGTCACGTGCCTGTCAATTTCGGAGCAAATCGACGAAAAAGATGACAAAAACGAACACGGCCTTGGTCGACTTAGTAGAAATAGATTTTTCGTTCATCAAAATCTGCCATAGGTACTCTGCTTTTAGATATCGGATTCCAATATTTGACAGCTAACCACGCCTCACCTATCATATATACAGGGTTGCGCCCATGGTAAAAAATGTTGCTTACGGCATCCCCAATAACATATTTAAATTTCATTCAAATATCACGGGTAACCAATTTCCATTTAAATATTGCAGGGTCCTTTAATACAAAACTGCTCATATTCAATATTTTACAGAAAAATGTACACCATAAAAACAAAATAAGCCATATTTATTTCTCATGAGAATTCCCTATTTGCACTTATTTCCGCACCACCTTTGAGATAGTGTGTATGTTAATGTACTTGGCGCATCCACCAACTGGTTAAGTTTTATTGCATCCTATCAATTTAAAAAAATGGTGCTATTGCTTAATAGGCCTTTTTAGGTTTGGAAAAAAGGACGATTCAAAACAATCGGACAGTTTATCAATCCACATAATAACAACTCGGCTATCACAAATTTCAATTATAAACCGTGCGATCGTTTTGAACTGTTCTAGAACCGTCCTTTTTCCAAACCCGAACAGGCCCAATGATTAAAGTGGGATGGATTATTGTTGATTTTGAGAAAATTTTAGTCTGAATGGTAACTTTCAAATTCTAGTTCAACAGTTATATCTTCTTCGCTTTCTTTCAATTTGTCCAAGATAGATGCATTAGTTGTCTCCTCATCAAAATCCTCATCTGTATTTGGATCAATATTGAACCAAGACATGCCTTGACAATTTGTACAGGGTGAGTTACCAAATTCTGACTCCCACCTGCAGCCGTAATTACAGGTAATAGTTAAAGGTGTAAGTACAAAAATTGTAGCATTTAGCAATTAGATTGAACAAATGAACAACGCAAAATAGGAAAACATGTCGATGTAGACTTTTTTCGAATGGAATGCCCTTTGTTTTCTTTCAAATTCTTAAAGTTCTCGTTTTTCTGATGCAGATTATACAGGGTGTCCACTTAGTGCGATATCGGAGGATATCCCTTACAGGGTGATGCAAGAAAAAAAAATGAAATCACAAAGTTGTTTGATACTGTAATATGCATTAGTTAAAAATATTTTTCGATATACAGGGTGCTCCGTTTATGTTGAAATTTAACTTTTTGTAACTTTCACAGGCTGTAAAACCTAAACGGTTAATTTTAGACGAAAACCGATTTTACATTCCCATCTTAGATTTTTACTGGCATACCGCCTGGTACTGGCAAAAATAGGTGTGACGTCAGATGACCATTGGCGTTTTAATGTAGGGAGCCACCAGCTCACATTCTTTTGGAGTATCAGATTAAAATCGATAGACTTTATGTATGTGTACTTTTCTGGTTGTAATGGGTGAAAAAGCAGAGAAGGACTTTTTGCGTCAGGTAGGACACCGAATAGGCCTTTTAATTGCTTTAAGGGCGGGTATTATAAAACTATTTTGACAAATAACTAAAACTTAACTTCTGGAATGATTAAGAGAAGTAACGTCATTCCAGAAGTTTACTTTCAGTTATTCTGTCAAAATAGTTTTATAATACCCGCCCTTAGTGTGTGAGTGATCAAATCATTTTGATTGTCTAGACACAGAATGTAGAATGTCGGAAGAAGATTTGCTTGAACTGTTCTAATTCAAACCCAAATCAGACTATGAATATTTTGAATTTTCCCTTGAACAAACCGAATTATGTGGCTACTTACCGAATCATTTTGAAACTCTGATCGATGAAATTGACACCCTCCAGTTCAAGTTTTCTGACTTCTTTGTCGTGATTAGACAATACGGCATCCCAATTTTCTTTGCAGTTTGGATCGAAAATGTCGAAGTCTATATTTTCGATTTGAATTGATAATCTATCGACTCGTTTCGCGACGTTATCGATGGTTTGCGGATCGCTTACGATTGCTCTTAGTTCTGCTCCGAAAATATTTTTGAAATGACCGACAGTCTAAGAGAAAAAAAAAATTAATTATGTTTTACAAGTCACACACTGTATGTTCTTCATAGTATAAATAGAATCTTATCAGATTATTTTTCAAAATAAAAATTTCAAATTATAACCCTCCCTTCGGTTGGGCTATAACCTTTTTGTCTCGGGATTAAAAGTACCACTTTAGTCCCTAGGTGTATAACATACTATTAAGTACAAACATTAAGTGCACAAATCTAGTCTGGCAATGAAAATACCCAAAAAAAACACCTTCTTTTCAAATATTTTTAACTTACCATAGCAAATTTATGGATATCTCTGCAAACCTTGGCCATATAATCCGAGGCGGCAAACAACTTGTTTTTATCAAATTCCCACCGCTGCCCCTTACCAGAATCCTCAATTTTTTGCCGCGTTGCCATGTAGGACGCTTTCCAAATATCCAGCATATCTGCCGCATCTAAAGTTATCTTTTTTACGTCACTTATAACCTTCCTGAAAAGTATTACTAGGTTTGTTGACATTATTCATATCGCATCATAGGTATTACCTGAAAATATATTTGCTATCTAAAACCTTCCGAACTTTTTCTAGCAAACACCAAACGATTCTTTCCATAAAAGGTACCATAACTTCATCGGTGTCGTAGTACCTTGACAACACCCAAATCAAGTGCAATCCTTCCATTAAATCCGGTATACTATCTTTAACTTTCCGGAAATCATAACTTCCGTCTATAATCTGGAAAAAAATTAATTTATTTCAGATGTTTATTAAATTAGCCGTGGAACTAATACCTTCAAATGTCTTTTGATTGTAGACAAAAATTTAACATTATCCCTTGCTTCGGCATAGTATTGTTTCAGTTCAATTTGATAATGCATAAAAGCTTCTACAATATCAGAATGGGCCATAGACAATAGGGTACTTATGTGGACTAGGGTGGGCTTCTTTAATTGTTCTACTATAGCGCTAAATGCGGCTTCTCTCTCATGCCAATAATCAAATTCGGGTAATGGACCATTACCAATAGGAGTCTGAGAAGTGCAGAATTATGCATATCACTTTTTGAATTGTGCCAAGAAAAAATTACCTTTGCCAAATAGCTATCAATGACTTTAATAATATGCTTTTCCCAGCCCATGACAGCATCCTCCAATGCTTCAACTACTACGGGATCGCGAATAAGCTCTTCGTTTGTTTTATCAGCTTTAAGAATTTCTGACAAGTCAACCATTGGTAAATCTATATCGTCTTCAACGTGCTCGCATACCCTTAATAATCATTCTTGAATTATTTTAGTTCGGAAAAGTTATTCGGAGTAAATATTCAAACTAAGAATCACGCGGAAATCGGTCTTAACTAGAACTTCTTCACACAAAACCACTCAACCCAGCGTTCAATATGATAAAGATATGTGCCATCCAAATAGTCAATAAGGTGTTAACTTGCCACGGGCTCTAAGGATAATCAAAGAAACACTTGCCACACAATAGTTTACCTTAAGGGCCGGTTCATTTACCTTGTGATAAACTGTCAGGTATGCAATCTAAGGGATAAAAACACAATATGTAATTCCATTAGTCGGCCAGTTTTCCGCTGACCAATAGAATTATAGAACAGTAAATTTATCTTGCAGATAGTTACCAGCAAGTTTATCTCAAGATGAAAACTGGACCTAAGACTGTAAAGAGAGGTCAATATACCGATTAAACTCAGTTGTACTGAGTTATCTCGGAGAACGAAGAGTTGGTTCCAATAAAGAACCAATTAGTGAAATTGAAGTCATTGATTTTAATTTGTCAAAAAAATTGAATGTGTTGTAGCAAAACGCCCCAAGTAATGTCTGCCCAGCGACTCTGTGTCTACGGGGCAACGGTTAGGGGAATGCAGTTGTAAAAAAAAAAAATGGCTGATTTCATTCATAAAATACCCAGCTGCGTGCGGAATTTTTTGGAAGTGTTATCGTATTGCAACTCCTACACGAAAATCGAAAATGACCAAACCCCCGCCACTGGATATTTCAATATAAATCGATATTCCAAGATGGGAGGATACAATGACGGAAGCCCTGGCCAATAGCGAGACGTAAGGTGACGTTAGCCCATTGACAACGACATGGTTCCCCGTGGCAATGGCCATCCTGCCAAAAACTCCACCAATCAGGTTCATCCAGGCCGGATGCTTGCCAAATTGTCAAAAATTGATGGTATCTTTAGAAAATGTTTATTTTTTACAATGGACAAAATTGAAGAAATCAGTTATTAGAATAAGAATAGATCTAACAACCACGTTGAAATATTTAGCGTTTTATTGGTATCTATATTTTGTTATTAAAAAATGGATTTTCAAATGAACTATACTTCATGCCTGGTATTTTCGCTTTTTAATAATTAAACGTGACAACATGGCACATTTACGTCCGAATTCCTTCCGTAGACTCAGATCCGCTAGGCAAACAATACTCTATGTAATTAGTTAGATGGTAAATGGCGAGCGGTATATTGATGGTATTTATTTACTTGGAGCTGCTACCTAAAATCTGTGGAAGGGTCTATTTGCAAGAGAGAGAAACAAACAATTGAAGTGTACTAAATTATATTTTATTATTCATAAAACCAAAATTTTTAATCAGCCAAATATCTTCCAATTCTGACAGCCTCATCTATTTTTCTAATTCAATTACTTCACATCCGTTCAAAATGATATTATTACGGACCACCATAGAGAAACAGACTAAAAAGAGAGTAGCGAATTAAACGAGAGAGATCGGCACCGCATTCCTTTATGCCTGTAGCGCAACGCAGACGTCGCAAAGTTGTCCCTTTATTTATCGCGTCGGGATTCGACCTACGTGCTCGTTTCTGTGTCATTCTAGCAACATTGAAGCACTACAGAAGAAGAAGAAGGAAACAGGACGGTAGATATTTCCATATTAACTGACGCATGCTGATGTTTACGTAGATAAACATAACCTCAGTTCACTTCTAGGAAAAATATTTAAAAAAATAATTTTCTATTTTTCCATTAATTATCAAGTCAACAATTGTAATATAAGAAATGTAAACAAAGGGCTTCCGAGAGCTCTCATATGTGTGTCAGGTCAGTGTTGTATTTTTTTATGTTGCATAAATAATTACATTATACTTATTACTTGTTTTATTTTTATTATTTTCAGACTGAGGATAATTCAATGTTTTCGTTTTCTATCACATATTTTTTGTATTTGGAGAGGTATTTATTATTAATTTAATTACTATTGTTGATATTATTCGTATTATAAGAGTTATTGTTTTATTTCATTACTACTTGAAGAATTCAGAGTTTGTGTATATTATTTATATTTTAAGAGTTATTATTTATTTCATTATTGCTTGAAAAATGCCGCTAATAATTTTTTCAATAAAACTAGCTTGATAAAGAATTAGGTATTGTTTTTTTTCCCTAAAAATTTCCATTAAAACCAAATAATCTTCAGTACCAATTTAAATTTCCCGCCATGCATCCCACAAGTTTAGTTCATCCTGTAGCTCACGGAGGCGCTACAGGGATACAGTGGTGCCGATCTCTCTCGTTTAATTCGCTACTCTCTTTTTAGTCTGTTTCTCTATGCGGACCACTGAAATATCCCTACTAATAAGAGACGCCCTATTTCTACTATTCCTAATAACCTATAAGTTAATTCATTTCAACACTTCCGATTCATTCCTAATAAAATACCCTTCACCTAATTATATAAATTTTTTAAAATTTCTAAGTCCTTTACTGACTGCTTATGAAAAACCCAAAATAATTACCTATTTGTTTATTAATATGGGTATTACTATCTTATTTTTATAAAACCTTACAATAATTTCTACATGAAATCCATAATTCAAAATTAATTTCATGAACAATAAGTTCCTTTAACAACTTTCCAATATTTTAAGACAATTCTATTTCATGAACATCAAGTTTCTTTTCAAAATTACCTATTCCATTTAATAGTTTATTTAATCAGAACAAATTCTATTATAAGTTTCCTTTAACAACTTTCCAATATTTTAAGACAATTCTATTTCATGAACATCAAGTTTCTTTTCAAAATTACCTATTCCATTTAATAGTTTATTTAATCAGAACAAATTCTATTATAAGTTTCCTTTAACAACTTTCCAATATTTTAAGACAATTCTATTTCATGAACATCAAGTTTCTTTTCAAAATTTTCTATTCTATTAGAGTTATTTATGTATCAAGGGTACTAAGTAGATGATTATGCCCTGAGGGCGACAGTCTTACAAAGCCGAGGGCCTCTGGCCCGAGGGTTCGTAAGTCGCCCGAGGGTATATATATCTATTAGTACCCGTGGTGCATACAATAATTTATTTTCTACTTTCCTATTATAGATCCATAATACCTAGGAAACGAAATACGTTAACACACCTATAACAACCTGATCCATAACGCCCGCTTTTGCGGGCGTTATGATCTATAACGCCCGCTTATAATACCTTAAGGTGTTTTTGTTGTTGTTGTTCTATTAATTTGCACTTTACCCTAGGCAGCCACTAAATGTCTGACTGAAAATAATTTTCGGTCTAGCCAGGATTCGAACCCGGTCTACCATCAATGTTTCCCATGTAGTCCAGCGCGTTAACCCACAGGACCACCACCGTTGCCTTGCCTTATGAGATGTTTATAGATATATTAATTTATTTCGTTTCTATGTACAGGTCGCAGGTACAGGTACAGGTCACAGGTACAGGTTCATGTCAAAATACAAAACAATATTCTGTCACACAAGTTTAACTGATTTTGTTAATAAAAAATTGATGAAAAAACATTGTGTTGAGTAGAAAATAAAGCATTGTATGCACCACGGGGATTTCAAGATTATAATGCCCTTTAGGCGAAATATATCCCTCGGGCCATAGGCCCTCGGGCTAGTTTCGCCTTCGGGCATTATAATCTACATAATCCCCTTGGTACATAAATAGCTATTATGTCATACCAATACATTATTGTGTTTTTATACCTTAGATACCATCTACATAATTCATTACTTTATGGCCCGCGCGGGCATAAAGACGCAAAAAACAAGTTTTCAATTAACTTATTCTTTATTGACAAAATATAAATTTACGCTTATAAACATATTATTTTTGTCAAAAAATGATGATGTTTGCACATTGATGACAATTTGCGAAGTGACATTTTTTTCCCAGGTATTTATTATTCACAACCAACTGGTATGACATAAAAGTTTGTATGCACCACGGGTACTAATAGATATATATACCCTCGGGCGACTTACGAACCCTCTGGCCAGATGCCCTCGGCTTTGTAAGACTGTCGCCCTCAGGGCATAATCATCTACTTAGTACCCTTGATACATAAATAACTATTATGTCCGATTGACCTATAAAGTGCTATTTATAGAACAGTTTTGCGTCAATAAAGTAGCACTTTATTGTACTAGTAAAATAATGTGCTACTTTATTTTACTAGTAAAATAAAGTGCTACTTTATTGCCTACCTAGACTACCTGACAAGGTGAAACAGGTCCTGATAACCTGCCAAGGTGAAACAGGTCCTGACAACCTGCCAAGGTAAAACAGGTATACCTACGCGAATTTTACTTTTTTCATTAATTTTTTTCAATTTTTAACAAAAACCAGTCGCAATCGTACATAAAATAATGTATATAACGCTTACATAAACAGGCTTTATTGACTCATTATTTAATAGCCTCGCCCGCAAGCTCGCTCGGCCATAAAATTATTCGTACAATAAATCCTTACTTTATGTACTTGCTATATAAATAGCTATTATTTAATCAGAACAATTCTATTCTCGGATTCCTAGCCTAGCTAATAAATCCAACTGTTTAATTCATTATTCCAACTCAAAATTGTATATTGTTAAATGCATTATAAGTTCCCTTCATATTTTTCTTGCGTAATTAAATTAGAATGTCATTATATCTGAAGGCAATTTAAGTTATGCAATAATGTTCCATTGATATTTCACTTTATAGTCATTCATCTTTTATAAAGTCATAAGTTTTACTAGGAGAATCACTCAAGTTTTTAGGCATTGAAAGTCATTTGTTAATTCACTTCTTATCATTCAGAATCATTGATAAAAGTCAGAAAATTATTAAACACTAACGGCCAATTTCATAATCAACTTAAAGTAAACTTTAAATTTAAAGCTCCATTTGAAGTGGAAAAATCCTATCCTAAAAGTCTATTTAGCTAAAGTTACTTTTAATTCTCTATTAAGAAATTGGCTGTAAAGTACTTACATTAAACTTTGCACACGTAAAATTACTTAATTAATTACTCAAAATTTTTAGCTAGCACGCACATAAATGTTGACGAATTTAATAGATCTTTCTTTCAAAATTTGTCCGCTACTTTTTCAAAGACTGTTACCGAGGCAATACAAGAAACTTTCTGGACTGACACTTTAGGTACTGTAGATTTTAACTCAAACTGGACAGGACTGCGAACTTATCTCTCAACTGACAACTGCCTTCCACTTCTAAAACCGCGGTATTTATATTAAATCGATCCCCCCGCAAAGTATTATCAATTATCCCCCAAAATCGTCAATAGGCGGTCGTTTGACGATCAATCAGACAATCCCATTGGCCTACCTAAATATTATTAAAAATAATGATGCAATTTCCTTGAAACTTTTATCATTTTAAGTTAAAAAAAATCGAATAATTATGTCGCAATATACTGATTTATCGGGGTCGAATACAGTGGTTCAAGAATGCCATAAATCATTCGATTCAATTAACATGATGGCCTCGCTAGAAAAAAAGTTCATTGATCGGGTATTAGGATGACATCACCCTGTCCTCGTTTTTATTATTTTTAAGAATTTAATTTAGATGATGACATAGGCTGGGTGTCGAATTACGTTAGCGTTAATTTATTTCATTTTTAATTTATCGATACTGATTTGGAAATACCGGAAATTCAGTTCTTGATTATTATTTAATTTTTACAGTTAAGACATTGTGATTTACGGGTCTAATTTCTGGATCATTACAGTGTCATATGAATTAATCTACGACAACCCTTTTTTTCAAGTTTCAAGGTCAAGTATGAACCCTGGTGAAAGGATCTGTACCTTTCATTGATCTTTGTAACACAACATAATGAAGAGAAAAAACCTAGTGCTTATTCGTTGGATGCTTTGCCAGCTACAGACTGGTTGGTGATAGTTCTCGTCAGTGCCACACAAGCGAGCCTACCAAATCAGAAAACAAGATTGGTATTACTGCCAACTACCACAACGCCATGATTGGTGTAAAACAAAATAACAAGTGAACTACAAATTTTTCTATACTTAGTTCCAATTCTGATTAGATCAAATATAAAATGCCAATTCATCAGCAGTGACATTCATCCTTCCTTTTGATTCTACACTCCTACAGACAGACTTGAATAAAAAATAATAATTCTTACCATTGCAGGGTGGTTCCAAAAGCACCGATCTCACATAACAATTCGTCTTTCAGTGGCGTATTCGACTTTTCATCATCAGAGACTGCAATTGAGGCATGAACCGAAAAACGTTCCATTTGTTTTTTAGCCTCATTCGCTACCTTCATAGACCTTCGCTTAAAGCCTTCGTCAGGATTCTCCTCGTCGAATCCCTCCTCTTTGCCTTTTCTCAGCATCGGTTCCATGAAAGTGGACCTGAACAACCGCATGAACAACTAACCAGGATAAATTGTATTGAAGAAATGTTACGTCAATTCTAAATTATTTTACCTCTCTGGTCAAAAACGTAACGTTCTGTATGAAATTTCTAGGCACCGAGCCAATAATGATGTACTTGGGCAATTCAATGTTTGCGTCTTCCATATCGTCAAAATTTGGAATCCCCACTTCAGTCCGTCGGAAAAAATAGACAAACTTTATATCAGTGTTTACTGTGCCTTCCGATATCCAATCAAACCCGCCAGTGAGGCTGTAGTCTGTTACTAATCTTTGGATGATTTTCTGAAAGGAGTATTTATTACTTTTTTAAAGTAGAATTTTTCAAGGCAAACTTATTACTGGGACATAAATGACTTCATCTGTTTCCTCTTCGAGTTCTTCTTCTTTTACGGCTTCTAGAATATTTTTATAGATTTTTTTTATTACACACATATTTTATTTATTTTCACATTTGTTACCTTCCACTGTCTTCTTTTTCCCTTTATGCTTCTTGTCCTTTTTCCCTTTCTTCTTCTTTTTGCCCTTACCAGCTTCAAATTATAAAAAAAAAATAGGTTGCTACCAATACCCCAAATCCGTCACAGAGACACCCACCCAAGTCCTGAGGCAGAGAATAAATTTTTCATTACTCAGAAGACCAATGCAATGACCTCGAAAAATCACTTTTCCGAGTCCTCTTCTAACTTCGCTTGTAGAATATTATTTTTTGCTCCAAAAAGCATGATGCCTTGGGACTTGGGTTGATCTCTATGAACAGTTTTGTAAGCTTTTAGATGAAATTCTTTTACCTGCATCTTCTACATCTGATGTCTCTACATCGGTAACATCAGCAGATGGTAAGGTAGAAGCTTCATCAGTTTCAGTTAAAGGGGTTTCAGTGCCAGGCAAATCTTGTACGGCAGTTTCTTGAACTGATTCCACTCGCTGTTCTGGCACTTGTTCTTCGAGGATTTTTTCTTCTGGTTTTGGATCTTAATGATTAGTTAATTTATAAAAATTAATTTTTACATATTAGAGCCAAGAATTTTTTACCATTTTCGCCAATAGCTTCAGGAGTTTTTTTGCCTTTTTTTCCTTTTTTGGGTTTTTCTTTTCCGCCTTTTTTCTTTTTGGGTTTTTCCAAGACCTCATCAACGACTTCTTTTTGTATGGGGATTTTTTGTACTAAAATAACAATACAAGTTTTAATTTCAAAATGTTAAATTTGCCTTCAAAAAAATATTGAACTTGTAATGCAAAGTGAGCAATTTTAATTTAAGAAATTAAATTCATGAAAAATTCAGACAAAATTTGTGGAAAAACTCACTTTTCCTATTAGGTAGATACTGGATTTTAAATTTTCTCTATTTTTTAACCCAGACTATGGAAGTTTTTTTTTTGAAGATATTTCAAGGAAACAAAACATCCAGACCCGAAAAGAGAGAATCGACATAAATTTTTTAGTATTAGACACAGGGCCGTATCTAGACCAACATTTTGGGGGGGGTTAGACAAACTGACAAAAAAAAAATGTTACACTAGTAATAAAAATAAAAAAAAATTAATAAGTATTTAATAAGTGTTGTTTGTTTTTAAGTTAAATTTTTTGAATTCTATTATTTTTTGGGGGGGTCTGAACCCCCAAAACCCTCCCCCTAGATACGGCCCTGATTAGACAAGTAGTAGACATAAGTATTTTTTTCATACAGCCTCATGGAGTGTCATGGAGGCTTTCTTTCTTTACAGGAATTTCAGAAAAACTAAAATTCAAGATCGCGAATAGGTACAATTCGCTGATTTATGACAAAAAAAAGATTCCTATTTAATTTCATAGAAAAACTACCCCCAAATTAGTAGAAATCTGCGTTTCAACGCCTCCTCGAGAAAGGCTGGACTGATTTTTATGATTTTTGCTTTATTGGATTTTTCTTTGTCCCTACTAACATAATAAATCGAAAAAATCAAAAAAAAACAAAAAACAAAATTACTTATTTATGAAAAAACTTCATTAAGCCCGCATACGGCGCCATCTCTTATAACTGATACCAAGTTTACCGCCTCATTTGCATTGCAAACCATTTTGTATACGGCGCCATATCTGATACCTAGAACGCAGCTCGCCGTTGCGCGGTAATTTCATTGCAGATACAGCAGAACAATGCTGCTCAGGAACTGGAGCTATTCCGAACAGAACTATTCCACTATTCCGATCAGATAGAGTGGTGCAGAAAGAGTAGATCAGATAGAATAGTGCAGATAGAGTAGAACACATGGAGTAGTGCAGTGCAGATAGAGTGAAACAGGGCTGCGCTGGAGATTTTTTTAGTTTTCTTTACATTCTTTGAACATTCCTGTGCCTCTGTTTATTTATTTGGTGGTACACTTTACAAGAATAATGCCCACAAGCTGCCTAAAAAGGGATGATGTAAAATTTGAATTTTAGGTGACTTCTAATCTAGAGAGTAAACATTAATTTTCTTCAACCAAAGCCAAATTCGCCATCGAAAAAAACTGAATTCAATTCGAAGTTCGCCGGGTCAGCTAGTTATAAATAAAGAACATAATGTCTGGCCAACGATTGTTAAGCTACGGGGCATCGTTGAGGGGAATGCATTTGTAAAAAAAAAAAATGGCTGATTTCATTCATAAAATACCCAGCTGCAGGGTTGCCAGACGTCCCGATTTAGGCGGGACAGTCCCGATTTTTAAAAATATTTCCGAAATGTCCCGATTCACGAATTGAAAGCCAAATGTCCCACTTTTCAAAAATGTGAGGTAATATATCCTGATTTCTGGCCAACAACACCCTTTTAGGCTGCATTTCCCTTCTTGATCAACGCCGAACGGCTGTAGAGAAATTGTGGGTTGTCTACTTTCAAACATTTTAGTTCGGTCGACACCGACAAGTGCCGACCATAAAACGATGTTCTTTTTCTTTCTAGACCATAATATCATTATATTATACCTCCTCTTTCTAGCAATGTTAGCGGGGGATTTCATTTGTGAGTTAGGATTTGACAACAGCTTTGATCCAACACAGCAGGGTACCGTCACAATTCTGCGCAAACCCTGAAATTTGTTCGTAAAATCCAAAATTCGTATACAGAGTGGTTACCAAACCGTTCATGGGACGGTTTTTGACGTGTTGGAATAGACCTATTGTATTCAAAAAGTACCAAGGGCAAGGACATATTAGGTTTGTTCCAACACGTCAAAAACCGCTCCATAAACGGTTTAGAAACCACTCTGTATACGAATTTCGAATTTTACGCACACATTGTTGGCTTTGCTCAGACTCGTGACGGTACCTTTTACGGTTTCTTGACGTGTTGGAACAAAGCTATTAAATGTAAAAAAAAAATCCCCATGGGGGGAGGGGACCTATATTGTTTTCTTTTTTTGGCGACATTTTTTTGTATTCGCTGTCCCGCTTTTTCAAAATTGAAATCTGGCAACCCTGACCCAGCTGCGTGCGGAACTTTTTGGAAGTGTGATCGTATTGCAACTCGTACACGAAAATCGACAATGACCAAACCACCGCCACTGGTTTGGCATAGAATACTTGAGCCGGCAACGCCGCTCGAAAATTGGGATAGCAGCCCTCGGCGCAAGGGCAGTAGTTGATATCAGGTAAGCGTACCACAGGCTGCTACATGGTGACAGCGGTTATTTTTTTCGTGTTTCAGGCGAAAAGTACCGGTGAAAATAATTTCCATTCAATTAGTGACCTATGGACTCTAGCTACTTTAGTAAAGTGCTCCCAGTGAGTGCGGATTTTTAGTGTGAAAACGGTGAAGACCTTGGCGGCCTGCAAAACGCAGAACCCAGCCAGGTGGGTGAATGCGACGGGCCGGTAGCTTCGATGTTGGCAGATACACTACAACATCGGTAGACTGTGAGATATATTTTTTTTCTTTTAAAGAAAGTAGACTTTTTGGATTGTTTTGTTGATTTTGTCTTCTCTTCACATTTTTCAATCATGGCTAATGAACAGGAAAATGCTATCAGATTGAGTGCGGACGAATTTAATCAGACAGACTTAATAAATCAGTTATTGAGATTACAGCAGGAGCAATTACTAAATGCAGGAAACACAGCTTCGGCACCGGTGATTATGCAGCAGGCCACAATTCCCTTTCCATCTCATTTTCTCTCTTTTCAAGCTGAGGACTGGGAAGACTGGACAAATTCATTTAATAGATACAAAAGAACAGTCATTAGTAATCATTCATCAGAACAGCAAGTTGACTATCTGATCAGTTTGTTAGGCACAAAAGCTGAGAAACCCTTAAAACCATTTCATTTAACACAAACACAACAAGCAGATTTCAACACTGTAATATCAAAATTTGACAAGTTATTTATCCAAAAGAAAAATCTTGTATACGACTCTTTTATAACAGATCTCACCTCTATGGCCCAAAATTGTGAATGGGACAATTTAGAGAAAGAAATGATTAAATTAGGAATAATAGCAAGATGAAAGGATAATAAATTATCAGTACAGCTACAAGCACGCCCAGATGACACATTGGAAGATGTGGTAAGGCATGCCAGATTGGCCGAAGCATTGCACAAGCAACAGTGACAGCCAATCTTCCTACTTCCAATCCAACTGTCGAAGAAAAGCTGGACTAGACGTTGACTACGTTCAGGGGGGCGCGCCCAAAATCATGCAGTAGGAGCAACTCAAATTATGAGAAAAACCCAAAATCAAACACCGAGGCAAAAGATTGCTGACAATGTGGAAGAACTCCAAGACACACATTCGTTGATTGTCCTGCAAGAAAGGATGAATGCAACAGATGCGGAGAAACAGGACACTGGGCGGTAAAGTGTGGCAGTTCAAGAAGTGAAAGAGGCTTCGTCGGACGTGATCAGGACCGGCGAAGAATTAATGATGTAATTGCTCAGGACTCTGCTCCTTCTCGCCACGTAGAATTCCTATCCATTTGCGAGAAGCTACGAAAGAACATTTGAACATCTTAGAAAGCCGATCAATTGTATACAAGGTTAAAGAGCCAACCCCTTGGTGTGCACCAATGGTGGTAGTGCCCAAATGATGCCAGATGGCATTGTCAGAACATGCGTAGACTATACAGTTTTAAAAAAAAATGCGGAACAAGAAAGATTAGTATTACCGGATGTTGAAGAAGCATTGTCCCAAATTGAGGCAGGCTCTCAGTATTTTAGCAAGCTAGACGTCAAATCTGGATTCTAACACATTCCACTGGATAAGGAATCGCAACTGATAACAACATTTATAACGCCATTTGGTCGCCATGCATTTAAACGCTTGCCGATGGGAATCACTTCGGCATCAGAAAGGTATCAAAGACAAATGTTATAGATTTTGGAAGAATTAAAGGGAGTAGTCAATGTAGCAGATGGTAAGAACAAGGATGAACAAGACTTTCGTTTGAAGGCCGTGCTAACACGTTTCCAAAAAAAAAAATATATATATATAAACTAAATAGAAACAAATGCGAATTTTCCAAGAAAGAAGTGACATTTCTAGGCCATAGCGTTCCAGGTTCAGGAATTGAAATCGATGAGAAAATTCGAGCCATTTTAGACATGCAACCCCCCAACGATATAAGCGGAGTTAGAAGACTGATGGGCTTCATACACTAAATTCCTTCCATCAGGATTAGCGGAAATGTCCGACCCCATGAGACAACAACTGTTACAAAAAAACAGCAAATTTATGTGGGCAGAGCCGCAACAACGAGCATTTGAAAGCCTAGAAAAAGCTCTTAAGACAGCTCTAATTTTAGCACATTTTGCTCCAGGATGTCCAAAAAGAGTCATAGCGGACGCCAGTTCATATGAATTAGGAGCAGTCCTGGAAAAAATGGATAAAGATGTCTGGAAACCTATCGGCTATGCATCCAGGACAATGTCCGACACAGAAAAACGATATGCCTGCGAAAAATTCGCCCAATACCTTCTTGGTCAAACATTTATGCTCCTGATTGACCACAAAGCCCTAGTGGAACTTCTAGGAAGCAAACAATCAGCTAGAACCCAAAGATTCCGGATGAGATTGATGCGATTTCCGTTTCATGTACAGTATATTCCTGGCAGAGACATGATAATGCCGGACGTATTATCGAGAGCTTCACTAAAATCCAGTGATCATGGAGCAGAGAGGATAGTTTGTTCGTCAAAAAACTCATAGAAAA